CAGGACGGAGGGAGTCGGGGCTGCCGAGAGCGGCTGGGCCGCAGCGCAGCTGCGACCTGCAGGCAAAGTCAGAAGGGGGGGGGGGGGGGAGTAGGCGCGTCCCGTCCCGAGGGCTTTGCGAGTGCGGTAAGTGGGAGCGGGCGGTGGGAGTGAAGGTCGGGATCGAGCCGCGCGCCGTTCAGCCGAGACCATAAAGCGCAGGCGCCTCCAAGACGTTTGCCTCGTGGGTGCGGCGGCGGCGGGCATGATGATGCCGGAGATGATCAAGGCGGCGGCGATGATGGCGGCGGTGATGAAGACGACCATGGTGATGTTAGCGGCGATTGAGGGCGCCGATGGTGAACATGGCAAGTCGGCGGAGGTGAAGACGGCTTGACCCTCGCGCTCTGCGCAGAGGCGTCATCGACAGAAGAGCGAAGCTCTCGTAGTGGGAAGATGAGCGCCGCGGCTGCCGGGAAGGCCGAAGTTGTGCGCGCGCCGCCGATGACGCCGCCCCCAAATTTGCGCCAGGGATGTGTAACAGTGGCGGGGCTGTGTGGCTTGCTTGCGTTTGTGCGTCGGTGGGAGAGGCGTGGGGTCTACGAGTGGAGGGGGCGCAGGCGCCCACGAAGCAGCGTCGACGCACCTGTGAGCGGGATGGGAGCGGGGGTCGCTTCTCGCCGGCCAGCGGAGGGGCAGGGGCGAGGGCGAGGCCGGAAAGCAGAGGATCGCCTTGTCAGTAGCAAAGCTCGGCCCTACGAACTCAGGGCCCTACGAACGCAGGCGGCTTAGGAGGTATTTTCTTCTCAATAACAAGGCTTGTGAATCCCTGGGTTTGTTTCTTGTTTCTTATCACCCTACTGTGAATTGCGTACTAGCTAGTATTGCACACACTCCGTGCAGCTGTGTGTGTGTGTGTGTGTGTGTGTGTGTGTGTGTGTGTGTGTGTGTGTGTGTGTGTGTGTGTGTGTGTGTGTGTGTGTGTGTGTGTGTGTGTGTTTACAGACTGTTCCCCCCTTCATCAAGAGAGCGTCCTGAGGGCCCAACTTCAGAATCGTGCTTTTTGGGTTGGGTCGGGTTGGGTCCTGTTCCGCGTGAAGTTGGGTCGTCGGCGCGAAGGGTGAGGTCTCGACCGCCGCCGCTCACGCCAGCGGACGGCCACCATCGGTGTTTTTGGCTTCGCCACCGTCCAAGGCGTGCGCCATGCGCTCGCCGGCATCGAGCGTGATCGACCGAGCGGCTTGCTGTGTGGACGGCTCTTGTGTGCCGGCACAGAGCTCCGTGCAAGCCTTCCAGCGTGATAGGAACGAGTGTATCGCTTTGACGGATCGACCGTGCTTGTTATCCACATCGATGTGACGCACACAGTGACACATATATGCATCAGACGACACATATTCTCCCATTCGCCCGGACGCAAAACGCTCTCGACGAGAGCCACAAAACAGAAGGCGTCCGCACAGCAAGCCGCTCGGTCGATCACGTTGCTCGCTCGATGCCGGCGAGAGCATGGCGCACGCCTTGGACGGTGGCGAAGCCAAAAACACCGATGGTGGCCGTTTAGCTCGCCCCGCCAGCGCGCGAGCTCGAACGCGCGCAAGGTGTCGGAACTGGAGCGCGTCGGATCCCGCCAGCCGTGGCGGCTCCGCTGCTCTGGGCGACGCTGGCCTCGACCAGTCGTATGATCCAAAGGCCAAGCCGCCGTCCCCACCCTCGTCAAAGCCGCGACATGCCGGATTCGCAGTCTCCTCCCAAATGCAAGGGCCAGCGCATGACACCCCGCTCGCAGCTTCGGTCCAACCGTGGGCCGCCAACGAGGTATGAAACGGCGAGCGGGCGTGGTCTCCTAATCCGCCCTGAGGGTTGTCCGAAATTCGAACGCAGGAGTGCTGGAGTGTGAGCGACGACGCCGGCAATGGCGGCAGATGGTTGAAGGAGTGCACGCCCGATACGCAGTCCGTCTATCAAAGCTGGCCGCACGGTCTCACGGACAACGACGTCTCGGGCGGCATCGCGCTAGCTCTGCGCGTACGGTTGCGCGCAGCCCGTCCACACGTTGTGTGGCGCACGAGCTGTCGAAAGGGGCACCCCTCAAGCTGGTTGTCTACGGCACCTCCATCTCGGCAAACAACAAGCGGCGTCAGCACGGGCCGAGCTACCCAGAGCTGCTGCAGGAGCGGCATCCGAGAACGCGCCACTAGTCGACCTGCTGTCACGCCCAAACGCAGCTACACCCACATCGGGACTGAGCGAGCGCCCCGTTCTTTGCATGCAGGACCTGCTGCTGCGCGCGCTACCGCTCGAACGTCACCGTCAAGGGGGTCGCCTTCCCGGGGATGACGGCGCAGATGCGAGAGGCGTGCGCCGACACGTTACTGCCTCCGGGCGGTGGCGGCGACATGTACATCATAGAGGCCTCGAGCGGCCTCGGGCAGCGGCGAGAGGTGGCCCACAAGTCCGGCTCACGCGCCTCGACTGACCCTCTACCGCACTGAGCACTTGTGCCCCCCCCCGCTCCCAACCCATCCACCTCGCCTCGGGCCGCGCCGCGCGATCTCGGGCGATCTCGCGCTATCTCGGGCGATCTCGGGGCCGCGCCGCGCTATCTCGGGCGATCTCGGAGCGTCGCTCGCGCGGCGGCACATCTGCTCAAAAAAGGAACGGCCTGGTTGGAGCCACGGGGCTCACGTGCTCGGTCCGGCCTCGCTTTTTATTTTTTGAGCTAGACTTCGTTGTGAATAGGATTTTTATTTTCCATCACGCTCGCCGCTTCGGGACTCCGCCACGTAATGTCGATGCCTCTCCTCATCCACGCTTTCTCCGCCGGCCTCGTTGCGCCGCCGGCCGGCACGCTCATCGTCGGCGGTGGCCCGGCAGGGCTAGCGACCGCGATTGCCCTCGCAAAGCGCGGCTACAAGAAAGTCGAGGTGCTCGACCGGCTCCCACCGCCACCTGCGGTCGACGACACGGCGTGGAGCGACACCGCGCGCTTCTATCTCATCGGCATCGGCGGCCGCGGCCAGAACGCGCTTCGCAAAATCGGCGCCTGGGACGCGATTGAGCCCTTCACGCAGCCTGTCGCTGGGAGGAAGGACTGGGCGCCTGGGAGCGGCGTTGACGGCGGTGTGCTGACAGTCCGTGCCGACCGTCCGCCCTCAAACGTGATCCAGCGCGACCGGCTCGTCTCGTGCCTCCTCGCCGAGTCTCGCTCGCTCGGCATCACGGTCCGGCACGAGGTCGACGTGGCGTCTGTGCGGTGGGAGGGCGGCGAGGCGGTGCTGACATGCCGCCCGTGCGGCGAGGAGGCTTGCCAGCTCGAGGAGGCCGTCGAAGGGCGGGCCGCTGCCGCAGCGCCGCCAGCGTCCGGGGGAGAATACGAGCTGCGCGCACCCTTTCTGGTCGCGAGCGATGGCGTCCGCCGCACGGTCGCCGCTGCAGTCGAGGCGGCAGACCGAGAGAGGCGGTGGGCGCTGCCGGGCCGCCGCTTCAAGGTCACGCGCTTCGAGGACACGAGCGTGCGAGTGTACAAGACGGTGCCGTTTCGGCCGCCAGAGGACTGGCGCGGCGACATCAACTACTCTGCGCGCACGGCCAAGGCCAACTTCGACGCGCTGCCCGCCCCCGGCGGAGACTACTGCGGCGTGCTGCTCATCGAGCCCGAGGATGAGCTGACACAGGGCCTGCCAGACGTGCCCTCCGCGCGTCGCTACTTCGACGACCTGCTGCCGATGTTCTCGCCACACATCAGCGACGAGAGCCTGCAGGCGGGCGCTGCCCAAGCTTCCCTCCTCGACCCCGCCCTCCCACCCGCTCCTCCACCCTCCACCGTCAAGCAGCTGCCGCAGCTCCAGCCCGCCCCTCCACCCTCGCAGGCCGTCATCGATAAGCCGACGTCGCGGCTGCCGCAGTTCCGGTACGCCGGCCCGCGGCTGCACCACCGCAACACCGCGCTCCTCGGCGACGCAGTGCACTCCGTCAAGCCGTACTTCGGCCTCGGGGTGAACGCTGCCTTCGAGGACGTGGCGGCCCTCGGACAGGCGCTCGACGACTCCCTCGCTCTCCAACTTTCCGTGAACCTTCCATGAGCCTTCTCGGAACCTTTGCAGGCGCTCGACGACTCCCCCGACCTCCCAAACGCGCTGCGCGCCTTCTCGGCCAAGCGGGCGGGCGAGGCGCGCGTGCTCGTCCAGCTCTCCCGCTCGTTCGACCTCGGCGGCTGGCGCTCCTTCGCCTTCTTCATCGGCCCGCTCATCCTCGACGGCATCTTCCACGGCGTCGCGCCGAGCCTCTTCGCGCCAAACACTTTGGCGATGCTGCAGAAGCCCCACCTCTCCTTTGCCCGCGTGCGCTGGCGCAAGCGGCTCGACCGCACTATCCAGCTCGCTGTCCTCGCCGCCGCCGCCACCGCTGCCGGCCGCCTGGCCGCCGTCGCGCTCGGCGCCGCCGTCCGCGCGCTCACGCGCGCGTCGCTGCCGCCTGCCGCCCGGCCGCTGCTCGCCGCCGCTCCGCTCGCCGCGGCGGCCGCATTCGCCTTGCGGTTGCGGCAGCGCGTCGGCGGCGATGTGGCGGATGTGCTCGCGTCGCAGGTGACCACGGGCAGCGAGAAGGGAGAGCGAGACGAGGAGCGGCTGGTAGGCACGCGGCCAGGCTATTAGCAACTCCCCGCTTCACAGCTCTGACGTCTGAGATATCGCCGTTGGCGGCACATGGCACGTGCATATACATGCATAGACTGATATAAGACACGCATGAGGCATGTGCATGTCGCGCAGCAGGGCCACACTGTCGTACGGGGCTACCGGGTACCAGAGACCCACGATTAGAGCTCTTGGCGTACAAAACCGATGTGGAGCCCTTACCTGCGACACTCTGCATCCCACACGCGCCCTCCGTCTAGGCAGAGAGCCGTCTTACACTGCTGAATGCGAGCGGGACCTGAGCGCAGCGAAGAACCGCGCCCAGGCCGGCGTTTTGCGACGACCAGCGAGGCACTCGCTTCGCTGGTCATCGCAAAACGTGAACAATCGCAGCCTGCGACCGGGAAAGTGGACCCCGATGATCGTACCGGCGTCACTCATCACCTCGCCACCCGTACCGGCCGTCGGATCGACGCGCATCACGCACCCACCCACCTAACAGCGTCGTTCTCGCGCTGTGTGAGTAGGCTCGGCAGCGGCGGAAGGGTCGAGCCCAAGCTTCAACGAGAGTGGCCGAGCGACCCAGGGCAGATGGTACGGCATAAGAACTTAATGTTCCCTTCCTCTCAGGTCGCGCCTTCGACGTGTGCGCGAGCGGTGGCCCCTGCCGTGACCACCCCGTCACGACACTGCTCCGTCACCAGCAACATCCGAGCCATGGTGGGTGTGTCGAGCGTCGACCTGTTTGGGTTGCTTGTGTGTACTATACTATCAATCACCGCAGCCTTTGTGCGGTTGGGAGGGGCACTGGGGCTGATCCGCAGCGTCGCGCAGTCTTATCGTGGGTTTATGGTAGAGGCGTAAGCGACAGTGTGGCCGGCCGTTTTTGGTGAGCGCGCATGAGTAAATCTAAAAAAACACTTTGAGATCAGCCCTCCCTCCACACGGAGGGTGGGCTGGTCCCGCGAGCGGCGGCGCGCCCACGGCAGTCGCATCGGCGCAACACAGACCCTGCGCGCTCTCGCTCTCGCACGCACACCACAATGCGCGTAAGACGGACTGCTCTTGGACTCTCCCGATCCATCGTCTCCGTCCGACGACATGTCACGACATCGACATGCGGACCGCACACACACACAACACAAGTGTCCCAAGGTATCAAACTGAAGAGAGAACGAAGAGAGAACGAAGAGGGAGGGAGGGAGGGAGGGAGGGAGAGAGGAGAGAGAGAGCTCTGATAGTGTGCAAGCGTACTGCGGCTGCGCCGGAGGCCCCCCCCCCGGCGCAAACCACGCCCTCGCGGCCGCGCAACGCGCGACCGAGTGGGGCTGACACGGCAAGGGGTGCTCATCGCACACCAGTTCCGTCGTCGCCACGCCTCACCACCCATAAGAGGGGTGTGTGGGGCGCCCAAGCCCCGCAGCAGCAACACAAAAGCAATGAATCACCGGGCTCGCCCGCCGCCGGTCCCGCCCGCGACCCGCCAAGGAGCGCCCGCCGCCACGGCCGCGGCGGAGGCCCGAGGCCGGCGGGAGGCAGACCTCATGAGCCAACCCTCATGAGCCGGGGTTCGAGATGACCATGTGGTCGAGGTTTGGCATCTCGCCGCTGCCGCCGCCGAGCTTGGACGAGCCCGACTTGCGGGCCCGCTTCTTCTCGAGCCGCTCGCGGTTCATGTAGCACTGCTCGCGGAAGGCGGTCGGCGTCGCGGGGCCTACGGGCAGCGCTCCGAGAAGGCTGCGGAAGGTTGTGGAAGGTCGCGACGGGCGGTCGGCGGGGCTGACCGTGCGTCCCGGCCTCCTCGCCCAGCAGCGTCGTCCCTCCGCTCGCGTGTGGAGAGCGGCCGTCGCCGCTGTGCGAGTCGTTGAGCGAGGTGTACTTTTGCAGCAGCCTCAGGCCCGCCTCGACCTGCGAGTCCGCCTCGGTGAGCCGGTACGGCGGGCACTCCTCAGCGCACCCCTCCAGGAAGGGGTGGTTGAGCGCTCGCTTCGCGTCCGGGCGCAGGTTCGGGTCGGGCTGCACCAGCTCGGTGATGAAAGAGACGAGCTGAGGGTCGTCGCACCTGCAGCCGTGCGGCGCGGGCACGTCGCGGGCACGTCGCGGGCGGCGCGCGTCGCAAGCCGTCGCGGGCGTGGCATGTGCGAGTGGCCGCGGCGGCGGCGTGCGGCAGCGGCGGCGCGAGTCGCTGCGGCGGCGGCGCGCCCGTTCGCGGCGACCTTCCTCTATCTCCCCATCTCTCCCCATATCTCCCCATATCTCGCGCCCGTTTGCGGCGAGGATCATCGCGATGGAGGTCTTGCGCGGCCGCATGCGGCAGAGCCGCCCCTCCTGCTTGCCGACGAGCCCGTTGCGCAGCTGCGCGGCGTCGGACTGGTCGGCGAAGTAGTGGTCGGTGAGCGCGCCCTCCCGGAGCAACGAGCGCGGCAGCGGGCCAAGCACGGCGATGTGCGAGGCGAGGAGCGCCTGGACGGAGAGGGGAGCGAAGCAGCTTCAGACCTCGGCCGCATCTCGGCCGCATCTCGGCCGCGTCTCGGCCGCATCGCGGCCGCATCGCGGCCACGTCTCTGCCGCCTCTCTGCCGCCTCTCTGCCGCCTCTCTGCCGCCTCTCTGCCGCCTCTCGCCTCTCGCCTGGACGGAGCGGTTGTCGAAGAGCAGCTTGCCCGTGTAGAGCTCCATCAGGATGCAGCCGAGGGACCAGAGGTCGACCTGGGAGGGGGAGGGGTCAGAGAGGGCCCGGGAGGGGGGCGGGGAGGGCGGCACCGGATGAGGAACGCCCGCCTGCATTCGCTTCTTGTGCGGGTCCAGCAGACCGGTCGCAATCTGCACGATCATGCCTTGCGGG